TATATATATATATAGAGAGAGAGAGAGAGAGAGAGAGAGAGAGAGAGGAGTGTCATTGTTTTACATTTTTACAAATTTCTTTCATTTCTGGCTTAGTAGAAGATACATCAGTATCTTTGGAAAACTCCAGGGCACTTTGGGAGAGCATGAAAGTGAAAAGGGCAAATGATGTCTTAACATTAATAGGAAGATTGTTTTGACCTCAAACAGCCCCTGAAAGGTTCTCAAGGGCCCCTGGGCCGCCTGGACCACACCTGGAATGGAAGCGTGGCTGTGAACTCCGGAGCTGGGCAGAAGGGGTTAAAGCCCTGCCCTGTCCCTTTCTTTTTCTGGTACTATGCGCCTCGCTTCCTTTATCTGTAAAAGGGGATTCACTGCATCCATCTCGAAAGGTGGAGAGGATTCAGTAAGTAGCGAACACAACACACAGTAGGTGTGATAGCAAGCTTGGCTGCTTTCCTCCTGGTTTGGGCCTCAGTTTCCTCATTTGTTAAACAAAGCTCTGGACTGGAAAACTTCCAAGAGTCTCCCAGCTCCAACAGGCTGTGGCTGTGTAGTGAGAAATGTTCCAGAATTCCACACATTCCCACGCCAGCCCCAGTGACGACATTCCCCTTCAGCTCACACAGACACAAAGGCACATTCTGTGCAGGAGCCGTGGAAACTCCCGTGAACACAACCCACGCCTGTCACCTATGACATGCCCGTGAACCTGCTGAGAGGATGTGCCACTGAGGGTCCAGGCGTGCACCGGCGACACAGAGGCACAGGGTTCCCTATGCGGAAATGCTCACAGGGGATCTGTGCACGTGCCTGCGGAGACAGGTGTGCGCACACGCACAGTCATGCCGTCCTAGGATGTACACGGACACCCTGCACGCATGCCCTGGCGCACTGACGCTCTGGGTACCAGACACAAGCAGATGGCCCAGAGAGAGCCAGTAGGGTATGCAGCACAAAGCAGCCAGGGCCGCAACCACTCCCTTCTCTGGCTACTCCCAGC